CGACAGATGAGAATAAATATGCTAAAGAGTCCAATAAATAAAACGATGATATTTTGTAGATGTTTGGGGATGATCCGGAACAGCGGTAACGACTGTCCGAGTCGGGTCCGGGACAGCTTTCGGGCTAGCGCAAGGAGGGTCGCGGGCTGGCGAGAGAGGTTAGGTAGGGCCTGACGGTGAGTAGTGAGCTGTGTAGACGGTCTCGAGCTGAGAGAAGAGAAGAGAGAGAGAGGCCCGGCGACTGTTTCCGGAGACCGAAAACGTCCGACGTTAGACCGGCTATACTGACGCTATAGTTATCCGTTGGGGCGTCAAACGAACTCCGAATGCGATGAAACTTGACAGGCGGTCTACCTACACTATAATAAGACCGCACGACAACTCTCATCCCATTCTGAGAACATTTTCCGGCCACTAATAAAATACTATCTTGGACATGCCGTGGGCGCGTGCAAGTGTGGTTGGGCTCAGAACGGACAACGGAAGGAACGAGGAGACCGGGACGGATGCAAGTTTTGAAAACATGATGATGCAATGCACATGATGACATGATGAAATGCAACACGCAAGCCAAAGACAAGACAACAACAACGAATAACTGAACGACACCTGGCACATCGGTCTCGGGGCGTTACACACAACCTACCTATTTTCAGCCTTGTGTGCTACCTCTTTACTCTAAGAATTTGACTGACCGATCCTAAAATTAGCAAACGCGCAGGAAATATGTGCATGCTACTGCGCATGTCATATAGTACTCCCTCTGATCCAAAATAAATGTCCCGGTTTAAGCCATGACACTTGTTTTGGATCGAAAGGAGTAGTATCTTGCGAGTGGGACCGTCAGCCATCAGTTATTATAGACTTATATTTATATAGTCGAAGGTCGAAGCTAAGATTTGTATTAAGATCAAGATATCCGCATAAACCGGCACCATATTTTCTTGAGGTTGTAGATAAAGCCAAGCTCTCTATGGACCTAACCGGAAGGCATTAGATCAAGAGCACTGACTAACAAGGTCTCTCTACACGAGGCGGGACTGCCCAAACAGTACCATAAACCTCTAACGCTGCATCACGCACCCAAGTCCAAGTGATGGCCAAACAGCGGCTGGTGTCCTGGCATCTGGCCTTGTTTATACTAGTACTGTGTGGCGTCACTATACAGTGCTCTTATCGTCCCAATATCTTGTATGCGCAAAGAAAAAAGGCCTAAAGGGCAGTTCCATCGCGTTGCCACTTCGCCACGACAACAGAAAAGTTTGGCTGAAGACCCTCCGTTTCTGCACACCGAGTATATTTATAGGAGGAAAAAAAATCCTAGTCTATACTCCACAGCCAGCCAACTCAGTAACGGAAACTAACAATGCAAGATGTTCAGACTCCACGGTTTAACCTATACAACCGCCAAGAAAACGACGCCTCTCGATGGTGAATTGGTGATCTACGATTCAATGCAGCCAGCCTTGGCAAAATTCTCCCAGCAAAAGAGGAAGCGCGGCGACTTCTCCCGGTCGACACCGCACGGGAAGAACGTTTCCGAAACAAGGAGAAACTAAGCCTATCTTGACGACGACGACGATCTATCATCTCTATGCTGCTGGCAAATTACCGCAACCGAACCGCGGACAGCGACGGATCCCAGAAAAACCATCGGGATAGGTAATATCAAAGCGCAGACGCAACGGCGATGGGGCTCCGAAAGGGGCAAAGCTTGCTGACCGCATCGGCGGTGCATGCCAGTGGGTGGGCTCTCCCTTTTCGCGCGCGGTTTAAAGCGGCAGCTCGCAGCCTTTTCCTCCTTCCCTCCATCCATTCGACGACGCCGGAGAGTGAGAGAGTGGCCTTCTGTATACATAGCAACCTCCGTAGCAGCAGCAGGAGCACTGTGATCTGCGAGTTCGCGGCGGCGCCGGCCATGCAGCAAGAGCTCGCCGCGCTGGCGTACCAGTCGGCCGGTTTCGTCGGCCTCCCGACGTCCTACCTGCCGCCGCACCCGCACGACGTCGACGTGGACCTCGTCGACGGGTGGTTGGTCGGCGGCAGCGGCGGGGCTGGCGACAATGGCCGCGGCCCGCCGTCGTGCGGCAGCGGCCTGAGCCACGTCGCCGACGCCGTGAGCGAGACGAGGAAGGCGAGGCGGCTGGCGTCGAACCGCGAGTCGGCGCGGCGGTCGCGGATGCGGCGGCGGAGGCAGCTGGACGAGCTGTCGGCGTGCGCCGCGGAGCTGCGGGCGGCCAACCAGCGGCTCGTCGTGGAGCTCAACCGCGCCGAGGCCAGGCACGCGCAGGTGGCCCGGGACAACGCGCGGCTCCGGGAGGAGCTGCGCCGCCTGCGGGGGAGGCTCGCCGCCGAGGAGGAGGCCGCCGATCGAGACGCCGGCGACGAGGCCGCCGCCGCAAGAACGCCGTAGGATCCGACGTACGTAACACATGCGATCGCGACCGTAGTATACACCAGGACGATGATATATGCCATAACCATGAGGAGATTAATTACCGGGCGTGTGAATATTATGTAGCTGGATTGTGTTTTCATCGATCGGGCTCTTGAAATTGCTCACTCCTGCTTCAGTGAACCACTACTCCGTATAAGTTAACTTCGTTGGCTGCAACATCGATCTTTCTTGAGTGACGCTCCTACAGTCCCACTGTCGAATGATCGATGGTGGCCTTGGTGTTGTCCCGCTGCCGGCGACAGCGACGTCAAACGCCGGCCAGCCGCCGCACACCGGCAGCCAACTCGCCATAGACCATCTAGTCGCTCCATCCGGTCAACAGGAAGAGTAACCAGTGTCCAAGAGAGATTCAGAAGATGTTGCGCGTCAGACACCTCCTCCGTTCAGGACAAGATGGCGGCGGCATGTCAAAGTGCCAACCTTCAGTTGTTAGGGGCATCAGCACTAAGCGATCAGCGTGCGCCACTTCTATCTCCACGTGCGAAACACCAGCGATCAGACCGGCATCATGTGTGCATAAGAGTTTAGGCCTTACCTGGGCACCGATGCATTCTGTAGCCTGCCTGAACCAAGAATCACAACACAGGATAAAGGACTGAAACCTTGAAATGCATCAACACAATGGAAGGACGGCAAGTTTGCATCCATGCCACCCTGAACAGGGCAACAAAAACTGGCAGTATTTCTGAACCAGGAACGGAAAATTGGCCATAAGCTGTTCCAGGCCGAACTTGCAGCAGACGCGTGTTAGCCGTGTTCAGCAGAGACCACGGATCGCAAGGCGATTTCGGAAAATATCGTCAGCCCAATATGGCCAGCTTCGGATTTTAGCTCAAGAGAACAAGACTGGGAACAAGAGCAAGTGCAGTAACACTTATTAGAAACAATTCGATAACCGGTTATGGTAACAAGAATTGGACAACCAGTCAAACCATGGAAATTATGGAGTGCCGTCTACATCAAAAAATCTTGCAAAACGAATTGAAAAATCCGATGGTTCACTGTGATTGGTCAGGTAACCTCCCCTTTCAGTTTTCCACTTAAGACGCACACTATGAACACCGCACAGTAGCCTGAAGAAAATAGCATGGCAAATAAATGAACATAGAAGCACTTGCTGGTCTCAATGAATAACTAGCGAGTGCCAAGATAAAAATTTTCCAAGCAACTGCCATGCCGTGTCGTCGTTTTCATATATCCAATAAGCAACTAAGGTACGCTTCATCCCATATATTCTGATAAAAGATGGTTTCTCCAGCATGTTCCCTGCACATGGATCTAACTGTACTTTGCTTCCCAGATGTAACAGAACTTTGACGACTTATCTATTGCCGAATATAAACGAGTAAATAAGAATCGGTAACCAACTCTTCCATTTTTGGAAGGGCCATGTTGACTTTCAGCACAAGCACAACGATCTACCGGCCTAGTGATCTAAACGCTCTTATATTTCTTTACGGAGGGAGTACCAACCACTCCAAACGTAACGGAACTTTGATTGCTTGTTTGGTACTGCTAAACACCACCAGTTGGTATTGTGTGCTAGTTAAAGGACCACAGTACTTACAGTGCAGCAGAGAAGCTCACCTTACAGAAATGATATATACTACTATACTCCCAGTACAGAAAAGTAACTCACAGGTCTAATTAAAGAAAACTAGATTGAAATTTCTAGTACAGGGCAGTCTTGGTACAGAGAGTAGCATGCTAACATCTATAAAGATATTTCTGTAACTATGATGGCAGTAAATCATGCAGTAAGCAAAGCAGTAGGCCAGTAGAAGAAAGTTCTGCCACAACCAATACAAATTAGACAAGATTTCGGTGACTAAGAAACTTCTCTGTATTACCGAAGCAGCATGACATATATGCAGAAGCACTAACGGTTATTCTTACCATTCAACTCCCAATCGGAACAGTTACATCAACACTTCAAACCAAATAGTACGACTAGTGACCTCGAAGTATCCTAACTGATCAGTCACCGAGTGAGGTTTCTCATTTTAACTTCCAGCAAACTGGTATTGTGTGCTAATTAAAACCTACAGTACTTGTAGTGCAGCAGAGAAGCTCACATCAGTAGCATCACCACAAAGAAATTACATCCAAGTACAGAAGAGCAACACTAAGGTTTGATTAAAGCATACCAGATTGAGATTTGTAGTACAAAAGAGTCTTCTACAATGGTGTTTATGATATCACGATGCCGGTAACTGATGCAATAAGAAAAGCAGTATTCCAGTAGAAGAAAATACTAATTGATTTGTCACAAACAATACGAATAAAACAAGCATCGAGTGAGTGAATTGGTTTTCTGTGTTATTGAAGCAGCACGACATATATACAGAAGCTCTAACAATTGTTCTTACCAATCAAGTCCCAATCAGAAGTTCAGAACCGCTACATCAATCGACACTTAAAAACCAAAGAAGCATGGCCCTAGCAACCTCCAAGCATCCTAACTGAGCAAGTCAAGAGTGTGAGGTTTCTCACATAACTTGGATGGAATTGCAACCAAGAGATGCCACCAAGGAACCCATGCTCACATCTGCATAGGTGTGCCCAACTGTGCTGTGGAGCCACCAGCAGAACGCCGCCTGGCCCGCCGCTGCTCATAGTCAGGGTCATCAGTGGGCAGCTCGTAACGGCACACCGGGCATGAGTTGCGTATGGCGAGCCATGGCCCAATGCACGCCCCATGGTAGAAGTGTGCACACGGCAGCCACGTGGCGAGCTCCCCCTGCACGATCCCGTCCTTGCACACAGCGCATCCCTGTGCGGCCTCCTCCCCACTGATCGCCACCACCTGGAGCCGCTCCACCGCTGCCCGAGCCGCAGGTGGCGCGCCCCCCACCGTCACGTCCGCCATATGCCCCGGCAGCACCTCGAACTCGTCTTCATCCAGCGGCACCGGCAGCACCTCCCAGCCGACGCTCCGGAATATGTCGTCGAGCTCCGGGCCCTCGTCGCCGAAATCAAAGGGCGGCTCGTCGGAGAACATGGACTCGTCCTCCCCGCTGTCGATCCCCTCCATGACGCCCAGGATCTCCCGCTCGCTGAGGAAGCCGAACACGTCGGCATCGGCGTCGCCCCCTCCGCCTCCTCCTCCCGCCCCGCCCCCACCGCCGCCCCCAGGGACGGAGGCGTCTCCGGCGTCGGCGTCGGCGGCGTCGGCGATCTCCTCCCACTCGAGGCCGTCCGCGAGGTCGTCGGCGAGGTCCTCCTCGAGGCAGTCCCAGAAGGGCGGGGAGCGGGCCGGGGAGGGGCTGCGCATCCGGAGGAAGGACGGCGAGAGGCGGCCGAGGCCGAGGCTGAGGTCCAGGTCGAGGTCGTGGTCGGAGTCGAAGGAGAAGGGGGAGCCCGGGGCGGGGGTTAGGGTTTGAGATTCGATGTCGAAGTTGGGGGAGATGTCGGAGTGGGTGAAGTGGTGCTCCTCCTCCTCGAAGGCGTCGGAGAAGGAGAGGTAGGAGGGCTCCCCGAGCGACCCCGGCCCGTCCTCGTCGATGCCGAGGAAGAACTCGTCGGCGAGCCCCGCCATGGCGGCGGCGGCGGAGGAGGAGGGGGTCGGGAGGGGAATTGAGGTGCGGGTGCGATGGGGTGGGGTGGTCCGGCTCGGGACGCGTCGTGTGGAGGCGTCGCGTCTCCGTCTCTGGTAGGTGGGCAACTGGGCCGGGCCACCCACCCACTCCGTCCGTCCGTCCGTCCCTCACGCCGTCACCCCATAATACGTTTCCAATGCGCTTTCGCCCTCTCCAGAATACGTTTTCACGTTGACAATACGTAGCCATACTCGTGGTCGTCTTTTTAGCAGAGAACACGTGTGTTGTACTAAACAAAGACGCTGTTGGTTCGGCTGGCGCTGTCGCGCCTGTTGCCACCGGAAATGCGAGGCTCCGGGCAGCGGCCACACCGCCGGCCGTCTTCCACCCGCCATTCCCATCGGCGGGGCCGGCAGGAGGAACCCCGCACGCCAGACACGAGCGACCGGCACGGGCGAAACTCCCCGCAAATCCAATCGCCCGGCACCACCTCGCCGGCCCGCCCGCAAGATTCCGAGGAGCACGAGACAGGGACGGGATCCCGGATCGGATTTATTATTCCCGCCGACGTCGACGGGATCCATCCACTCGTGGGCGGGCGAGGGAGGGGACCTGTAGCGGGTGACAGCGAGAGGTTTGGATGGATGCGCTGATTGATTGGCCTTAACTGGAGGCAGCTCCGCGTCTCCTCGTCGCTATAAAACGAGGCTGGCTGGACTGCCTGGTGGCTCAGAGAGAGGCGGCCCTCCTCCCTCCGCAGTCCACAAGTTCTTCTCTGCTTTTGTCTGGCTCTGGTCGCGTCTGCTGCTCTTCTGGCTTCCGGATCCCGGAGAGACTTCGGTTGGAAAGGTAACGCCCTTTTCTCCCTTTTCCCTTGCCGTCAGTTCTTGGTCAGGATTCTTGCCTGGTATGGAGAAAACTGCATCTGTTCTTGTTGTGGATGTGTGATGATGATGGCTTCAGTGGGGGTGAGCTGCGGTGGAAAAGAATGTTGCTTTTACGGCAGTTGATGGATGTCTGAGCTAGTTGGGCATGTACTGCATTTCTTTGATTATGTAGGAACTTTTAATCGAATGTTGTGTTTGTCTGTCGGGCCGGATTGTGTTGGAAACAAAAAAGGTTTAGCTGACTTTGTTGTGCTTGGGTCATATAGTTTGGATGTCATTTCGCCATGTGATTTGCCTCATCTGCAGGATACCATTGGATTGAACTTTATATTGTTACTTATTAGTGAATCATGGTCCTTAAGTTCATCACCTGGCCCTTTGGTTCCGTAATTGTATGTTGCTGTAGCCCTGTAGGATGCTTTGGTCTGTATACTCTGAACTACTATGACTTTTGTCTTCTGAATGCTAGCTATCAAAATTGTCTTGTTTCGGAATTTGCATTAAACAAGGCATCCTTCATTTATTTGAAGATTAAATTAAATACACAAGAGATGGAGATCAAATTAAGTGTGTCTAAATTTTATAACAAACTGGATCTCACCATAAGAAGTATCGAGAGAAAACACAAAGCTACTGGTTTTGGTCAAATCAAATAGCCTATTGCGCTATATCATTGACTCAAATCCTTTCCTTTCAGGAGAGTGAAAGAGAAAAATGGGTGTCGGGAATGGATCAGCAGACACGAACCAGCAGACGGCGCGCAATGAAATACGAGATGAGACTACGCCGCTTCTTCCGGTCAAGGTGGAGGAGGAGGGGTTCCATGAGTTTAATGGAGCTTCGTTCTCCGGCGCAGTTTTCAATCTCTCGACCACCATCGTTGGTGCTGGAATCATGGCCTTGCCAGCCAGCATCAAGATGCTGGGCCTCATCCCTGGCCTTCTGATGATCATCTTTGTGGCACTGCTCACAGAGGCATCCATAGACATGCTTATCAGGTGCAGCCACCAAGGAAAGATCACGTCGTATGGGTGGCTGATGGGTGAGGCATATGGACAATGGGGGAGGATTGCGCTGCAGGCCTCTGTGGTTATAAACAACATCGGTGTGATGATTGTTTACATGATTATAATTGGTACTTCATCTAAGCTCAATACTTCTCCTTCCTGTTCTATGTGTTACTTTCGAACATTTTGTGATGCAACTTAAATTCACCAAGCGGGCTTGTTATGGATAATCCAATGCTCCACCAGAGTATCTTTTAATCCTTCTATTCCACTAATGGCACACTTCAGGGCCTATGTTTTAAGACGAGTCACGAATAATTCCAAGATGTTTTTGATTTTTTTACTTAGAGCATATAAGTTTATTGCTTAGCTGATTGAACTTGGGTTTCTTCAGTACATTACTTTCAAGACAATTCTCATCCATGAGCTCCTGATAAGTACTTTATCAAGTTTCATACTATCAAATGGCAAATGGAACCCTAGCTCCCTCTCTGAAGAAATAAGTCGTCATTTTGAGCAATTTAGTAAAAACATAATATACCAGGTTGAACTTGAGTTAGTTAGAAGTCAGCTTCTTATCTTCAAGTAACATCTTGTACCTTAATACTTAAAATGAACAGTTCTATTTGCATGAACTGCGATTGACGGTGGTTATTGAAATTTTGATAGGTGATGTATTATCTGGAACATCGTCAGGCGGTGTTCATCATCGTGGCATATTGGAGGGCTGGTTTGGAGCACATTTGTGGAATTCTCGTGCCATTGTTCTTCTTGTGACAACTCTTTTCGTGTTTGCTCCATTGGTGAGCTTTAAACGATTGGGTACGTGTTCATCTGTGCAAACTATGAAATAACTACTTTTCACCATGGTTGCTGCATGATATTAATCTTGAATCTTGTCATTTCCTACAGATTCACTGAGCTACACATCTGCCCTATCAGTTGCTCTCGCTGTGGTTTTTGTTGTTATTACTGCTGGGATTGCCATAATCAAAGTCATCAATGGAACTGTAGCAATGCCCAAGCTTTTTCCAGAAATAGATGATCTTAGTTCTGTCTGGAAGCTTTTTACAGCTGTCCCTGTCCTTGTCACTGCATATATCTGCCACTATAATGGTATGCAATTTCAGTGCCCAGCTATTCTTGCCATTATTCAGTTATGTCGATTCTAAATGAATGTTTTTCATGATTCCACAGTTCACAGCATTGACAATGAGCTTGAGGATAAAACACAAACCAAACCAATTGTGCGAACATCACTGGTCCTTTGCTCCAGTGTTTACATTGCCACAAGTTTCTTTGCTTATCTTCTCTTTGGAGATGGTACACTGGATGATGTGCTCGCCAACTTTGATTCAAATCTTGGCATTCCTTTCAGCTCTGTCTTCAATGACGTAGTCAGAGTGAGCTATGCTGCGCACGTTATGCTTGTCTTCCCCATCGTCTTCTTTGCCCTTAGGCTCAACTTGGATGGTCTACTCTTTCCCACGTCGAGGCACATTTCTTATGACAATAAGAGATTTACAATCATAACCATCTCACTCCTCGTGGTTATTTATACTGCTGCCATCTTCATACCAAGCATTTGGGATGCATTCCAGTTTACTGGCGCCACAGCTGCCGTTTTGATTGGTTTTATCTTTCCTGCCATGGTCATATTAAGGTACCTAAATAATGCTTCTGATTGGCTATATATTCCCTATTTGCTAAGCACTCCCGTATTAACACATAAACTCGTTCTTTTTTTCCAAGGGATCCTTATGGAATCGCAACCAAGCGTGACAAGATATTGGCTGTAACCATGATCGTGCTTGCTGTTGTCTCAAACTCTGTTGCCCTATACAGTGATGCAATGAACATCTTCCGTAGGAAAGAGGTGGCCTGAAATTCAGGCTTCAAAGTTCAAAGGAAGAGCGTCACTGATGCAGGAAACGCAGTTTCATATTACAAAATTCAGTGGCTTTGAAGGAAGATGGTTTGCTGGGATGCTGTGAAGAAAGATGATTTCTTTGGTCAGCAACTCAGCATTGAGACCTGTCACATGGAAGAATTAGATGGTTGAAATTGTCAGGTCTTGTGTACATAAGCTGGCTCAATGTCGAATTGAGCCACTTGCAATATATGTATGTTCTTTTTTTGGCGCGAATATATGTGCCCACCCCAGACAGAAAAAAAAGCATTGCTGCAGAAAGCTTGCTCTAGAATAATGTACATTGAGTTGAGTTAAATATGTTTGGTTTGAACCTAAACTCGAGGATCCGAATAAAAATGAAGTTGCCATTGTTACCATTCTTCTGAGGGAACCTGTAGATTTGATAAATTACATGCAATTTTTTGCATGAACTGTTGAACTCTGTTCCATTGTTCTCCGCATAGTGGAGCCCAACTACATTGATTTCCAATGATGTTAAGAGTAATGTCTTCACTGCCAATGATGCTCAAAAGTAGCATGGTCACCTATGATGTGTAAAATATGGGAAGTGAAATTCAGAAACACCTCTTCGTACAGGTGGTCTACAAGTATGTCCCTGTACACAGATTGTCTTCCAACTGCATGATTTTATATTGTCAATGGATGATAAAGGTAGAACTGTACAGAGTTAGAAAAGAGATTCATCACATCAGTGGTTTTTGCCTTCTGCTGTGGCCAAGAGACAAGAGACACCTAGCTCCTGAGCTGAATCTTTCTGCATCTTGAAAGGCCAGGTGACCAATATATTCAGGAAAACCAACTGGACGCTACAGGCCCAGGTATGCTCCAAATAAACTGCCAAGATGAGGTCCCCATGAAAGAAACATTGTTATTTTTATTTCCTTCTGAAAGAGTTTGTTTTGTCAGGATTCTTAGTATCCAGGCCAGCCAATGAGTACAATGACAAAATCCTGGAATCACTAATTGCGATAGGCTTATCTTTCAGTCAATAACAAGTTGTGCCTGACTAGCAAATTAGTACTAGAACTCTTAGGAACCTAATGCGTGATGATGAGTTCCTAGTTTATTTATGACACTGAGAGGTGTCAAGAGGAGAGTTTTAATGGGAGGAAATTCTTCACATGACGATGATTCAATCATAGTATGGATGTAGTAAATTTATTTATCGCGGATGGCGGGTTTAGAGCCACAAGTTCGGGCTGTCAGAGATCAAGTCACCAAGGAATTAAGCTGTCGTTGATGTTTACTTTAATAGTGATATTTTGTTCTGTACTTGACAAGCTCTTGTGAATTGTTCTTTTTTTCTGAAAGTGTTTTGTCAGCATTCATAGTATCCTAGTCAGCCAATGAGTACAATGACTAATTGTGATAGGCTTATCTTCCAGTCATTAACAAGCTGTGCCCAAGTAGCAAATTAGTAGTAGGGAACTCCTAGAAAACTAATGCATGATTGATGTGCTCCTAGTTTATGACTAATACACTGACCTATCAAGATGAGAGTTTGAATGGCAGGAAATTCTTTGCATGACGATGATTCAATCATAGTACGGATACGATAAATTTATCGCAGGTGGCAGGTTTAGAGCCACAAGTTCAGGCTGTCAAACCGGGGTTATCCAGAGATCAAGTCACCGAGGGATCACACTGTCAATGATGTTTACTATAATAGTGATCTTTTGTAATGTACGTACTTGACAAGCTCATTTTGAATTGTTTAAAAGCTTCTCCACACCAATCTACAACACTTACTTTTTTAGGTGTACAGCACTTAGGTGACCTTTGTCTGAGCCACAGCTAGTGATTCTCAGATTCTAGGCCTCACAAAATCAGAATCTAAAATTAACTCGCAGATCCTTACCTTAGCTGGCTAGAATCGCTTCCTGGAAATGAACTAGCATGCATATCCAGCCTGAAGCTGCCAATTTGGTGAGTCCCGAGCTGCCACACTTATTTTGGATCATATGTTTAGTATGCAAGATTATGATGGTCCGTGCTTATTTTGGATGTTATGTTTCATATGCATATTTCGGATAATATGTTTCTACAATCATTACATTTCTAGAAAATATTTCATATATGGTTAAAAAATTGCTGATTCTCACTTTATCGAGTCAAAACAGCCAACTTGCACTTTAATATGCATATAAACATCATACTCGGCACTCATGGACTTTATTGACATTTCATAATACCCACAGCTCCTACAGCTGTCCAACAACAGGGTAAACAAACAACCAGCTTCTGGTTCGGGTGGGGGGAAGGGGGAGGGTTGACGCCAAGGAGGCAAGGACCGTAGAACAGTGGTTCTATGGTATTTTCTATAGATTAAAAGAGTAAGTATGTACATGCAGGGGGAGGAACAAAAAGAAAAACAAGACGAAGAAATAAAAAGGAAAGGAGATCATCCAATGCCTGTTCTAGGAAACAGGAGGTTCAGAGTTTGTAAGGCGAAACTACAACGCGATCATCCTAGACGAGTGTTAATCCAACTCTCCAAGGTGTCTGCGATTCTTGTGTTTGACTCTCTGACCAAGGAGAATAAGGTATTGCTTGAGAAGGTATTTCCATGTGTTGACTGCAGGCACTTCATTTTTTGAAATGTTTCCCATTTCTCTGATTCCAAATATTCCAACTAGAATGACAATGTCCATGCTTCCATGGCAGTCTTGAGTGACAATGTTGATTTCAGGTTTTCTGTCTTACGTTGACATATATAATTATTCTCCTACTTATTAGTTCGAGGTCCTCTTTGATTTGCAGGATCCCTTGTATCCTGTATAGGATTATGAAATTTACTACTCCGGCGAATACATGAATGGACGAGTGTTTGATAGTACAAGAAAAACAAAGAAATTCTATCAAAAGGTTTGAGTGGATAGAAATTTTCTTTCAAAATAGAGTGCAAATGAATTCCATGAAAAATACCCAAGCCCCTATATCCGGGGATGTTTTTGCGCTCACGTTTACCCACTTGGGTGAAATCAACTTCTCAGCATGTTGGTTGGTGACGCGTGTATTAATTTGGGATACTGGCGTGTAAATTTACCTGGTGGCCCTACGTTTTCGATGAAAATTTTCTCAACGTGCGTATCTACTCTGTTGGTGCAGCTAGCGATAATATTGAGCGCGCGTGGGCCAGCCTGGCCCGTTGACTTACTCTTCTAGGCGTTATACTGTGGCTGTCCACGTGTTCGGGCCTCTTTTCTTTTTTGGGCTGCGCGTCCTCCTTCGTCGACGTGTGGTGCTGTGCCCTGGGAAAGCGGTGCCGCTTCCATCGTTCGATGTAGAGCCTTCGAGTGCCTTTTGATCGGTGCCGCTTAGGGCATTTGTACCTAAGGATTCCAGTCCAGCGAATCAAAATTCCTAAGGATCCAACTGCTCCAAAATCATATGGAATCCCTTTGAATTCCATATATTGAGTCCTGACTGTTTTGAGCACAGCAACATTATGTAATAGAAGCATTTGCAAATAAAAGTGAGATAGGAACTGGTAGTTCTTCATCTTTCTGCTTATAATTCCCATCAAACACATCCAACATCTGCAGGCAGATAGAGCAACCACCAGAGTGGTTGTAATTTTATAATCTTAAATAATGCAAACATGCTGTTTTCTTTCCACCGAAACTGTTTACTACTACGAACACAAATGACCATCAAACGAAAATTTCATGCCCCACACGAACTAAACCAAACCAAACAAAATTTGCGTACATTCACGATAAGGCCGATGCTATCAACTCTTGAACCTGACACTACGGCTGACGTTTGCATTGATGCCAGACAGTTCACCTCCGTAGGGACCCGAGGGCTTCTTCGCGCTGCGCACTTGACCTTGCCTCCTTTTACTCTGTTTATCACTCTTAATCCTGTATTTCTTCCGTGGATTCTTGAGATTCTTGTTTCTGGAGCGTGTCAGCCCTCGGTTCTTCTCGATCTGCCGCGAAATCTTCCTCTTGCCATCTCCTTCGCTTTCTTCCTCCAGCTCAGTAGCAGGGGTGCTCTGTTCTTTGCCCAGGCGCTTTTCGGTCCTCTGCCTCTTGATATCTTTGTAGAATTCATCTTCAGACCCTGAAGATTCATGATCATCGCCATCTTCCTCGCCGGATTGGCTGAGCTTCTCTTCAGTATGATCACCATCTTCTGGCAACTCATCATCTTCACGTGAATTGGTTCCTATACGAGCAAGAACACGTAGTTCATGCTTTCGGCGTCTTTCACCAATCTCATCTCGCTTTGGAATGTCATCATCACCAGAAACAAGCTGAAATGATGGCCAGAAGAGAAAAAAGGGTTAGGAATAGATACAGCCATTGCAACAACCGATACACAAAGCACAAGCACATGTTAAAAGTATGGATTTAGTTTTGTAGATGAGCAATAATCAGCAATTATAAATTCATCGAGTATTTCAGACGATATCTTTGATAGGACAAGAGTAACGAGGTTTGCCTCGCTAAGAAAAACAATTATATGCACTTGATGGCAGATATATTCTGTTAACATGACACATAATAGCACAAAGGCTGTTCTGGAACAGCATAATGTTAAGATTACAAACACTAACAAAGCAGCAAGATTCAAGCATGACGCAACATTTTTGACAAAACAAATTGACCAGCATTGTTGACTAGTGCATGTTATCAAAGCAAATATGATAGGAGTGTGGCAATGTGATGCCAGAGTTTTTAAAGCTGGAAGGCAAGTGTAGCTAGTGTCCCTGAGTGTAGCACAATTCATCATTGCTATGTTACTAACAATGGTTATTCTTCTCATATTCACAGCTAGCAACAAAATGCCATGTCAAAGTATTATCAAAATTCCAATTCACTTTTGCAATGCAAGCAAAGTCCTATTGAACTCTAGACATATCGAGAAACCTCAGGATCGATATGTAAACCATGACAGCAGAGCTCCAAAATCACCTAATAATCCTCAAATTTCACAAACATTTT